AGCTGGGATTACAGGCACGCGCCACCATGCCCAGCTAATGTTTTGTAGTTTTTAGTAGAGACGGGGTTTCACCATGTTGACCAGGATGGTCTCGATCTCTTGACCTCGTGATCCACCCGCCTCGGCCTCCCACAGTGCTGGGATTACAGGCGTGAGCCACCGCCCCCGGCGGTTTTTGTTTTTTGAGATGGAGTCTCGCTCTGTCGCCCAGGCTGGAGTGCAATGGCATGGTCCTGGCTCACTGCAACCTCCGCTTCCTGGGTTCAAATGATTCTCCTGCCTCAGCCTCCCGAGTAGCTGGGACTATAGGCGCGTGCCACCACACCCGGCTAATTTTTGTATTTTTAGTAGAGACGGGGTTTCACTATTTTGGCCAGGCTGGTCTCGAACTCCTGACCTCATGATCCACCCGCCTCAGCCTCCCAAAGTGCTGGGATTACAGGCGTGAGCTGCCATGCCCGGCTTGTCTGTGCGTGTTTTAATAGCAACAGGTTCTTGCTATGTTGCCCAGGCAGCTGGTCTCAAACTCCTAGACTCAAGCAATTCACCTGCCTTGGCCTCCCAAAGTGTTGGTATTACAGACGTGAGCCACCATGCCTGGCCTGTATGTTTTTCATTTCAAAATATTCTTAACTTTTATTTTTAAATTTTATTTATTTATTTATTTGAGAGAAGAGGGCTCACCATGTTGGTCAGGCTGGTCTCAAACTCCTGACCTTGTGATCTGCCCACCTTGGCCCATTTTTAACTTTTTTTTTTTTTTGAGATGGAGTTTTGCTCTTGTCACCCAGGCTGGAGTGCAATGCGACAATTTGACTCACCACAACCTCCACCTCCCAGGTGCAAGCAGTTCTCCTGCCTCAGCTTCGCGAATAGCTGGGATCACAGGCATGCACCACCATGCCCAGTTAATTTTGTATTTTTCATAGAGACAGGGTTTCTCCATATTGGTCAGGCTGGTCTTGAACTCCCTACCTCAGGTAATCTGCCTACCTCGGCCTCCCAAAGTGCTGGGATTACAGGTGTGAGCCACCACGCCTGGCCCATTTTTAACTTTTAAAATAGATACTATTTACACATGGTTCATATTTCCGAAAGTTGTAAGGGGTAAGCCAGGAAAAAGCCTCCCATATATGGGCCCTCCAGCCTAGAATTCCCCAATTATCACTGTGATGTTTCTCTAGAAATAATCCGCATATGGATAAAGGTGCTTGTTCTAACCCATGTTTTATGACAAAAAGTGGCAGAATTGCTAAACCACTTTTTTTTTTTTTGAGATGGAGTCTTGCTTTTTCACCCAGGCTGGAATGCAGTGGCACGATCTCAGCTCACTGCAACCTCCGCTTCCCAGGTTCAAGCAATTCTCCTGCCTCAGCCTCCCAAGTAGCTGGGATTACAGGCATGCGCCACTCTGCCCCGCTAATTTTGTATTTTTAGTAGAGACCGTTTTCTCCATATTTTGAAACTCTGTAAATGCAATGCATCTATGATTCTACAATTACGAGCTTTGGAGATTGTGGAATTCTAAGAGTCTCCGGCGATCTGCCTGCCTCAGCCTCCCAAAGTGCTGGGATTAGAGATGGGGTCTCACTATGTTGCCTAAGCTGGTTTCTATCTCCTGGGCTCAAGCAATTCTCCCACCTCAGCTCAGCCTCCCAAGTAGCTGGGACTACAGACATCCACACCACACCTGACTTGCTTTTACACTTAAAATTCCACTCCATTCCAGGCACAATGGGCCATGCCTGTAATCCCAGCATTTTGGAAGGCTGAGGCACATATGTTACATGTTTCACCAGCCTGGGAAACACAGCAGGACCCCCCCATCTCTCTCTCTCTCTCTCTCTCTCTCTCTCTCTCTCTCTTTTTGAGACAGAGTCTCACTCTGTCACCCAGGCTGGAGTGCAATATTGTGACCTCAACTCACTGCAACCTCTGCCTCCTGGGTTCAAGTGATTCTCCAGTCTCTGCCTCCTGACTAGCTGGAATTACAAGTGTGTGTTCTACCACGTCTGACTAATTTTTGTATTTTTAGTACAGACAGGGTTTCACCATGTTGGTCAGGCTGGTCTCAAGCTCCTGATCTCAAGTGATCCGCCCGCCTCGTCTTCCCAAAGTGCTGGGATTACAGGTGTAAGTCATTGCTCCTGGCTAACAAGACCCCTTCTCTACAAAAAATTTAAAAATTAGTGTGTCTGGGCACGGTGGTTCACGCCTGCAATCCCAGCACTTTGGAAGGCCGAGCTGGGTGGATCACCTGAGGTCAGGTGTTCAAGACCAGCTTGGCCAACATGGTGAAACCCTGTCTCTACTAAAAATACAAAAAAGTAGACAGGCGTGGTGGTGCACGCCTGTAATACCAGCTACTTGGGAGGCTGAGGCAGGAAAACTGCTTGAACCCAAGAAGTGGAGGTTGCAGTGAGCTGAGATCACTCACACCACCGCACTCCAGCCTGGGTGACAGAGCGAGTCTCTGTCTCAAAAAAAAACAAAACAAAAACAAAGTACTACCAACTCCCTTTTTACACAAAAGTTAAACAAATGCAGATTTTGAAACTCTGTGAATGCAATGCATCTATGATTCTACAATTGTAAGCTTTGGAGATTGTGGAATTCTAAGAGTCTAAAACGGATCTGCCAAGATTCTAGGTTTTCAAGAGTCTAAAAATAGTAAATATGAATATCTGTTATCTTCCAGTGCTTTAGAACAGCCGTTGGCAAATGTTTTCTGTAAAGGAACAGACAGTAAATGTGTTTGGCTTGATACAAACACTTGACTCTGCCGTTGCGGTGCAAAGCAGCCACAGATGACAGGCACATCAATGGGGTTGACTCTGTGCCAATTAAACTTTATTTACTGGCACTGATATGTAACTGTCATATCATTTTCACATGTCGTGAAATACTATTTTTCTTTTGATTTTTTTCTAACCCTTTGAAAATATAAAAACCAGGCCAGGCACAGTGGCTCAAACCTGTAATCCCAGCACTTTGGGAGGCCGAGGCGGATGGATCACAAGGTCAGGAGTTCAAGACCAGCCTGGCCAATATGGTGGAACCCCATCTCTACTAAAGATACAAAAAATTAGCTGGGTGTGGTGGCTCACACCTGTAATTCCAGTTACAAGGGAGGGTGAGGCAGGAGAATTGCTTGAACCCAGGAGGGTTGCAGTGAGCCGAGATTGCGCCATTGCACTCCAGCCTGGGCAACAGGGCAAGACTCCGACTCAATATATATATATTTATACACACACACGCACATATAAACCAGTGACACTGCATCTGTCTCTTTCTTTTCTTTTCTTTTTTTTGAGATGGAGTTTTGCTCTGTTGCCCAGGCTGGAGTGCGGTGGCACAATCATGGCTTACTGCAGCCTTGACCTCCCATGCTCAAGTGATCCTCCCACCTCACCTCCGGAGTGGCTAGGACTACCAGCATGTGCCACCACGCCTGGACAGTTTCGTTTTGTTTTGTTTGTTGGTAGAGATGGTTCTCTCTATTTGCCCAGGCTGGTCTCAAACACCTGGAGGATCCTGCCTCCAGCTGCCCTCCCGCCTCAGCCTCCAAAAGTGCTGGGATTATAGGCATGAGTCACTGTGGCTCAAACATTTTTTAAAAATTAGCCAAAGCGGCCGGGCGCGGTGGCTCAAGCCTGTAATCCCAGCACTTTGGGAGGCCGAGGCGGGTGGATCACGAGGTCAAGAGATCGAGACCATCCTGGCCAACATGGTGAAACCCCGTCTCTACTAAAAATACAAAAAATTAGCTGGGCATGGTGGCGTGTGCCTGTAATCCCAGCTACTCAGGAGGCTGAGGCAGGAGAATTGCCTGAACCCAGGAGGCGGAGGTTGCGGTGAGCCGAGATCGCACCATTGCACTCCAGCCTGGGTAACAAGAGTGAAACTCCGTCTCAAAATAAATAAATAAATAAATAAATAAAAATTAGCCAAAGCACAGAGCCGTGACCCTGTTGTCCCAGCTATTCTGTGGGGGCTGAGGCAGGAGGTTCACTTGAGCCCAAGTGTTTGAGACTTGTAGGAGCTCTGATTACGCCATTGCACCTGGGTGACAGAGTGAGACCCTGTCTCTTAAAAATAAACAAGGAAGCACATGTGCACACGAATGTTCATTGCAGCACTGTTTACAATAGCAAAGACCTGGAACCAACCCAAATGCCCATCGACGATAGACTGGATAGGGAAAATGTGGCACATATACACCATGGAATATTATGCAGCCATCAAAAACGATGAGTTTGGGTCCTTTGTAGGGACATGGATGAACCTGGAAACCATCATTCTCAGCAAACTGACAGAAGAGCAGAAGATCAAACACCACATGTTCTCACTCATAGGCGGGTGTTGAACAATGAGAACACATGGACACAGGGAGGGGAGCACTGCACACTGGGGTCAGTTGGGGGGAAATAGAGGAGGGACGGTGGGGGATGGGGAGCTGGGGAGAGATAGCATGGGGAGAAATGCCAGATGTAGGTGATGGGGAGGAAGGCAGCAAATCACACTGCCAGGCGTGTACCTATGCAACAATTTTGCATGTTTTCACATGTACCCCAAAACCTAAAATGCAATAAAATAAATAAATGGGAAAAAAAATAAACAAGGAAGCATCCTATTTTGTTCCTTTTTTTTTAGACGGAGTCTCACCCTGTTGCCCAGGCTGCAGTGCAGTGGCGTGATCTCAGCTTACTGCAACCTCCGCCTCACGGGTTCAAATGATTCTCCTGCCTCAGCTTCCTGAGTAGCTGGGACTATAGGCACACGCCACCACACCCAGCTAATTTTTGTATTTTTCGAAGAGACAGGGTTTCGCCGTATTGGCCAGGCTGCTCTCGATCTCCTGACCTCATGATCCACCCACCTCAGCCTCCTAAAGTGCTGGGATTACAGGCGTGAGCCACCGCGCCAGGTCCTATTTTGTTCTTAGAGTGAGGGTTTTATTAACTTAATTGTGGACATCATGGATTGTCTAACATCATCACAATCCCTGGATCAAGATTCTAATATAGCATTATTTATTGGTTTGGATAAACCCAGCCTTGCTACACTGTAGGGTAAAATCTCTCTCGAGTCATTATTCTGGACTTAGGGAGCTAGTTTTGAAACTCTGATTTATTCTAGAACTTAGGCTTGTGCCAGTTTTACAAATAAATTCTGTTCTAAGTTCAAAAATAAATAAATAAATAAACAAGGGAAAAAAAACCCTTCTTAGCTGTACAAACACTGGTGGTGGGTGGGCTGGATTTGGCCCTTGGGCCGCCGTGTGCTAACTCCTGGTCTGGAATTTTCAAGTCTGAAATTCAACAATGCGTATGAGACTCTGGGCTGAACGGAATTCTCAGAGGCTCACATCTGCAGGTTCCAAGGTCCCAGATTTGGGGTCCTGGGAGCTGCTGGTGTCCCACACCCACCCACCCCCTAGGTGGCGCCCACGACACACACCTTCTTGTGGGTCTTGAGCTGTTCCTCGCCGTAGCGGAGAACGTCCTTGATGAGATCTTGCAACTTCCGTGTCAGCTCCAGGTGGCACAGCGCCAGCTTGTCCGAGGAGACGCGGAAGACCTCCCAGAGCGGGGCGAAGGTCCTGGGGGCAGGCAAGGTCACACCCAGGGCTCATGAGGCTCACCCACCGCAGGAGAGCGCTGGCACAGGCTCTCCTGTGCACTGAGCCCTGTTAAACATTAATGTGTACTCATTCATTTCATTTCCATTACAACCGTAAGAGGCGGGCCTGCGACAGACGGGGAAACCGAGGCATAGGGAGCGCTTTAGCTCGTCCCAAGGCCCTCAGCAAATGAACATCAGAGCAGAATTTAAAGCCAGGCCCTGGTAATTCCAGGACTTAGGGAGGCCAAAGCGAGTGGATCACTTGAGGTCAGGAGTTCAATACCAGCCTGAGCAATACGGTGAAATCCCCATCTCTACTTAAAATACAAAAATGTGGCCGGGTGTGGTGGCTCACACCTGTAATACCAGCACTTTGGAAAGCAGAGGAGGGCCGATCATGAGGTCAAGAGATCGAGACCATCCTGGCCAACATAGTGAAACCCTGTCTCTACTAAAAATACAAAAATCCGCTGGGCTTGGTATCGCACACCTGTAGTCCCAGCTACTCGGGAGGCTGAGGCAGGAGAATCGCTTGAACCCAGGGGGCGGAGGTTGCAGTGAGCCGAGATCGCACCACGGCACTCCAGCCTGGGCAACAGAGCCAGACTCCATCTCAAAAGGAAAAAAATAAAATTAGCGGGATGTGGTGGCGCGCGCCCGTAATCCGAGCTGCTCAGGAGGCTGAGGCAGAAGAATCGCTTGAACCTGGGAGGCAGAGGTTGTACTGAGCCAGGACTGTGCCACTGCACTCCAGCCTGGGTGACACAGCGAGACTCCATCTCAGAAAAAAAAAAAGAGTGGCTGAGACACCACATGCCCCAATCAAGTCTATTCAGCCTCCCCCTCAACAGAAGCCCCGTCCAGCCTCCCTCCTGCCTGCTCCTACTGCTGCCTCCACTCCTGCCCTCCTGACAGAACTTTTGCCTTATAGCAGCCACAGAGAAAATTGCAAATGCCATCGGAACCACATTATGTGTTCTGTTTTGTTGAGGCAGGGTCTCACCCTTTCACACAGGCTGAAGTGCAATGGTGCAATCATGGCTCACTCCAGCCTCTATCTCCTGGGCCCAAGCCATCCTCCCGCCTCAGCCTCCAGAGTAGCTGGGACTACAAGCACACACCCTCATGCTCGGCTAATTTTTGCATTTTGAGTAGAGACGGGTTTCTTGGGCCGGGTGCAGTGGCCAACGCCTGTAATCCCAGCACTTTGGGAGGCCAAGGCGAGTGGATCACCAGGTCAGGAGTTCGAGACCAGCCTGGCCAAGATGGTGAAACCCTGTCTCTACTAAAAATACAAAAATTAGCTGGGCACAGTGGCAGGCATCTGTAATCCCAGCTACTCGGGAGGCGGGGGTGGGAGGATCGCTTGAACTCCGGAGGTGGAGGCTGCAGTGAGCCGAGATCACGCCACCACACTCTAGCCTGGGTGACAGAGCAAGACTCCGTCTCAAAAAAAAGGGGGTTCTCCATGTTGCCCAGGCTGGTCTTGAACTCTTGTCTTCAAGTGATCCTCTCACCTTGGCTTCCCAAAATGCTGGGATGACCGGCATGAGCCGCCATGCTCGGACAAAGTTTCATGTAGAGTCATTTGTGTGTCATGCTCTGCCATCTCCCTTCCTACTTGCTTTCCATGTCACCCAAGCCTGCAGCCATGCCAGCATCCTCACTCTTCCTTGAATAAGCTACGCCTGTGGACTCAGGACCTTTGCACTGGCTGAGCCACCTGCCTGGGTCTCTGTCCGTCAGACATCCCCATGGCCAGGTCATTTCTATAAAGGTCTCAGCTCAGGGAGGCTGGGCCCACCCCAGAGAAAGTGCCCAGTCTCTCACACTCCTACTTCATTCCCTTCCCAGCACTTTTTTTTCCTTTTTTTTGAGATAAGAGTTTTGCTCTGTTGCCAGGCTGGAGTGCAGTGGCGCGATCTTGGCTCACTGGAACTCCACCTCCCTGATTCAAACAATTCTCCTGCCTCAGCCTCGCAAGTAGCTGGGATTACAGGTGCCCGCCACCACACCCAGCTAACTTTTGTATTTTTAGTAGAGACGGGGTTTCACCATGTTGCCCAGGCTGGTCTTGAACTCCTGATCTCAGGTGATCTGCCCACCTCAGCTCCCAAAGTGCTGGGAGTACAGGCATGAGCCACTGAGCCTGGTCCCCTTCCCAGCACTTTTCACACCAGAAAAAACTGTTTTGTTTGTGTTTAACACCTGTCTTGTCACATAACCAGATGTACATTGCATGAAGGTGGTGGGATCTTTATCTGTCTGTGTTGCTGCCGATGCCTGGCACACAGAAGGCACTCAACAAGTGTTTGTGGAATGAGTGAATGAATGAATGAATGAATGAGTTAGTGTGTGAATGAATGATATACATCTTTCTATCTGGTTAGCTCCATAATCGAGGTGGATGACCTCTGTTCTTCATGCCCTGAGTGTGAAGAGATACCCATGTAGGAAGAGGCTCCCCATGTTCCCACCTTGGTGACCCCTGCCCCACTCACCCCACGGGGGTCCCGTTGCTGGCCAGCTTGGAGAGTTTCGCCATTGCCTTTGAGTAGGTCTCCTCGATGGTAGCCCTGGGTAGGAGAATGGGATAAAGAAACTGGGTGGGGCGCAATGGCCGATGCCTGTAATCCCAGCACTTTGGGAGGCTGAGGCAGGTGGATCATGAGATCAAGAAACTGAGATCATCCCAGCCAACGTGGTGAAACTCCGTCTCTGCTGAAAAATAGTTCCAGCTACTTGGAGGCTGGGGCAGGAGAATCACTAGAACCTGGGAAGCAGAGGTTGTAGTGAGCCAAGATCATGCCACTGCACTCCAGC